TTTCTTTCTTTCTTTTTTTTTTTTTTTTGGAGACGGAGTTTCGCTCTTGTTACCCAGGCTGGAGTGCAGTGGCGCAATCTCGGCTCACCGCAACCTCCGCCTCCTGGGTTCAGGCAATTCTCCTGCCTCAGCCTCCTGAGTAGCTGGGATTACAGGCACGCGCTACCATGCCCAGCTAATTTTTTGTATTTTTAGTAGAGACGGGGTTTCACCGTGTTGACCAGGATGGTCTCGATCTCTTGACCTCGTGATCCACCCGCCTCGGCCTCCCAAAGTGCTGGGATTACAGGCTTGAGCCACCGCGTCCGGCCAGGAAGTTTTAAGAACATTAGCAGCAAGGAGAATACAAGAGAAAGATATCAAAAAGTTAATTTAAAGACCATATGGAGTTTGGGCAAGGTGGCTCATGCCTGTAATTCTTATACTTCGGGAGGCCAAAGCGGGTGGATCACCTGAGGTCAAGAGTTTGAAACCAGTTTGGCCAACATGGGGAAACCCCATCTTTAACTAGAAACAGAAAAAGTAGCCAGGTATGGTGGCAGGTGCCTGTAATTCAGCTAGTTGGGAGGCTGAGGCACGAGAGTCAATTGAACCCAGTAGGCAGAGGTTACAGTGAGTCAAGATTTTGCCATTGCACTCCAGCCTGGGCAACAGATCAAGACTGTGTCTCAAGAAAAAAAAAAAAAAAGACCATATGGAAGAACATGAGCCATCTCTCACTCTTTTTTTCTTTTTTTTTTAAAACTTTTATTTTAGTTTCTGGGGTACATGTGAGGGTTTGTTACATAGGTAAACTCATGTCATGGTGGTTTGTTGTACAGATTATTTCATCACTCAGGAATTAAGCCCAGTACCCAATAGTTATTTTTTCTGCTCCTCCCTCCTTCTATCCTCCACCCTCAAGCAGACCTCAGTGTCTGTTGTTTCCTTTGTGTTCATAAGTACTCATCATTTAGCTCCCTTGTGAGAACGTGGTATTTGGTTTTCTGTTCCTCCATTAGTTAGCTGAGGATAATGGCCTCTATCCATGTCTTTGCAGAGGACCTGGTCTCATTCTTTTTTATGGCTGCAGAGGTTTCTCAGTTCATAACTTCTTTGTCCCTAGATCCATGGCCCAATTTAATCCTTGGCTTAAACCCCTTGAGGCTTCAGAAGCATTGCATTTTCCAGGAAGACTGCGCTAGTAATTGCTTTAAACTTCTTAACTGATAAAAGATGGGTCTCAAATCAGCTATCTTGTTTTCAGAATACCTTCCAACTTATTTATTTATTTATTTTTTGAGATGGAGTCTCGCTCTGTCCCTCAGGCTGGAGTGCAGTGGTGTGATCTCGGCTCATTGCAACCTCTGCCTCCCAGGTTCAAGCGATTCTCCTGTCTCAGCCTCCTAAGTAGCTGAGATTACAGGCGTGTGCCACCACACCCGGCTAATTTTTGTATTTTTAGTAGAGACGGGGTTTCACAGCGTTGGTCAGGCTGATCTCGAACTCCTGACCTCAGGTGATCCACCCACCTCGGCCTCCCAAAGTGCTGGGATTACAGGTGTGAGCCACTACCCCCGGCCCCTTCCAACTTATTTTATTGTTCTTATGAAATACACTATTAAAGATCTTAATAAGTGAGGTCGAACCTTGCAAAAATTATAATACTCAGTTATTCTGCCTTTAAAAAATGGCACTACCCAACTGTTCTTGACTTAGAGAAAAATAGTATTTTGACATGATTTAATCTCATACATGGTGACTCCAAGTAAAGTGAGTGTTTTGAATTACAACCTCAAACAGATTATTTTAACTTGGCCTAAGTCAAGTTTATATTTCAGAATTTAAAAAATTCCCCTTTCATATTAATTCTTTTTACTTTCTGGTAATATTACACTTTGCTATTACCAGAAAAACCATATATCAAATTATTTGGTGCTTCATGGTCTCTGTGCCTAAGGCAAATTGTCCCATCAACAGTGCTTCTCATATTGGGGAATATATCTATGAATTGGATTGATGGCCAGTGATATTTTTTGATACAAGTAGCATCCTGATGATACTGAGTTACTTCTGTAGCATGGTAATCTTCCCTTTTATAGATTTTTACTGTGGGTGCTATTCCTAGGAAATAATAACAAAAAAAAAAATCAGTTTCTGTATTTTTATTAAAAGTAGTTAAGTGCCTATCATTAAATGAGTTACTTATATATGAGGTCTGCAGTTGTTAGAAATAGTTGTAGAAAACTTTATACTCTTAGTGATCTCTGTTACTTTTCACATTTTTCTTAAAAATAAAATAAATAACTGGGCTGGGTGGAGTGGCTCATGTCTGCAACCCTACCACTTCGGGAGGCTGAGGCAAAAGGATTGCTCCAGCTCAGGAGTTCAAGACTAGCCTGGGCAACATAGCAAAACTTTGTTTCTGTTTAAAAAATAAGTAAGTAGAATAACTTTTACAGGAATTATTTCTTTTATAAAGTATCTATGAAACAACAATTCTAATTGATTCTTTTCTGTGTGTGTGTATTTTTCTATTTCCAGTTACAGCAACCCCAGCAAACCCTTTTAACACAGGTTAGTTGATATTACTTTATTTGTTTTGGATGTCTGAATGAACAGGAACTAAAGCTTTATTCCTATTCTACTTTTTCTTTCAGTGTTTAGTTACTTGTTAGATTCACATACTGGTTTAGGAATATAATGCTAAATAAAGGTCGAAGTGTGGGGTTTTATCTTTGATGGTTTCTGATTGTAGGTTCAGCTGTGATATAGTTTGAATAAATATGAGATTTTTTTTTTTTTTTTTTTTTGAGAGGGAGTTTCGCTCTCGTTACCCAGGCTGGAGTGCAATGGCGCGATCTCGGCTCACTGCAACCTCCGTCTCCTGGGTTCAGGCAATTCTCCTGCCTCAGCCTCCTGAGTAGCTGGGATTACAGGCACGCGCCACCATGCCCAGCTAATTTTTTGTAGTTTTAGTAGAGACGGGGTTTCACCGTGTTGACCAGGATGGTCTTGATCTCTTGACCTCGTGATCCACCCGCCTCAGCCTCCCAAAGTGCTGGGCTTACAGGTGTGAGCCACCGTGCCCGGCCTGTTACTTCTTTTTTAGCTCCACCTTAGCAGGGAAAGTTATTGTGTGACATTATCTCCTTAATTTTTTAGCAACATTGAACAGTTTTGAACTTTTGATATGTAGTGCTACCTTAGGCTTTACAGACTATAGTATCTTTCACATATTCTTTTTCTATTTTTACCACCTTTCGAAAGTGTAAAAAGCATACTTAGCTTATAAATTACACAAAAATAGCCTGTCTTTGCCATTGGGTCATAGTTCGCGGATCCCTTGTTAATACTTAGAGTGAAATACTATGCAGCGGTTAAAACAAAACTGTATATGTACTGATATGGAATGATATTCCAGATAATCTGAGATAGAAGTAAAGGTATAGTCCAGTATGTATTACGTGCTTCCATTTATCTGTATGCATATTTGAATCAAACATTTCCAGGAGGCTTCATAGTAATAACGAGAACAGTGATTGCCTCATGTTTAGGTAACTGCATGGCTGAGGAGAAGGGATAGGAGAGAAGCTTTTCACTGTACATATCCTTTTTGTTTGTTTGTTTTTTTGAGATGGAGTCTTGGTCTATCATCCAGGCTGGAGTGCAATAGCCCAGTCTTGGCTCACTGCAGTCTCTACCTCCTGGGTTCAAGCAGTTCTGCCTCAGCCTCCCGAGTAGCTGGGACTACAGATGCCTACCATCATGCCCAGCTAATTTTTGTGTTTTCGGTAGAGACAGGGTTTCACCATATTGGTCCGGCTGGTCTTGAACTCCTGACCTCAGGTGATCCGCCTGCCTCAGCCTCCCATAGTGTTGGGATTACAGGCATGAGCCACTGTGCCCAGCCCACTGTATAACCTTTTGAACCTTTTTAGTCTTGAATGTCTTGTCTTAAAAATAAAGTACACTTCAATTGAGAAATCAACCTGTTTTTATTAAAGAACTACAGTCGATTAGCACCTAACTCATATTTTCTTTTTTTTTTTTTTTTTTTTTTTTA